TGGGCTGGAATTGTAAGACCTTTGTGTGAATTTGTACCCAAATTGGGGTTTAAAATCAAGCAAAATACATTGTTTCTGATCTGTTAAATGCCCCGAAGCTCTGATGTAGCATGTCACTGTGTTTAAAATACACCATGTTACGTCGGTTTTTCTTCATCCAGCATGTCACGTCAGAATAGGTTTTGCACATGATCTGTCAGTTTAGTGGTGTGTGTGTGTGTGTGTGCTGGGTGATGGTTATTATTAAGAGGTGGAAGTGTGTGGGGACTGTGATGTCTTGGACTCTCTCCCTAAATTCCTGTCGCAGATGTTCTTGCACAACACTCAGAGTTACACAAGACAGAAACTTGATATAAGATGCTGTTACTGGACATGATGAAACCGTGTTTGTGAAGCCGCTCAGTGTTTGACATACTGAAGCCATTACACATTCTTCACCACGCACACGTACACACAGATGGCAAAAGGTCAGATCTCACAAGGTTGTACAAATGTTCAACTATGGAGTCTGATTGAGCTGCAAGTGTTTAGTCATTATAATTTTATATAACCTTTAATGTATGCAAATGTGTTCTCGGTATGGCTTTTAGCATCTCCAGCACGATTTGCGGTTTTCTCTGATTACTTCATATGCCAATGTGAAGTAATCGGATGTTCAGTTGGTTAGAGAACTCTGAGAGATATTATGTTTGATTTTTGGGGTAAAATATGACAAGTTCAAAATTTTAATGTTTTTAAAAGTCCCAAAGCTGCATTCATTAGTAGAGCCCGACCAATAAAGGATTTTTGAAGGCTGATACCGATACAAATATTTTTGGGTTTTAAAATCCGATGTTCCGATATATAGGCCGATATTTTATTTATTTAATTTATTTATTTTTTTTAAACTGGACATGATAGTCACAAATTTTGTCATGCTTATTTGAGTTTAGAGAACTGATGGGGATGTTCTTTTTAATTGTTATTCAAGCAATGTATGTATCGACCAACTCAACGAGCCTTCTGAGCGCCCTCTGGTGGACAAACTATACATCTCCAACACTCATGACATGGTTCAAGCGTGTTTCGTTCGTTTTTATTTTATTTTTGAAATATTCATTTATCGGCCATTATAACTGCCGATACCGATAGTTTGGAAAATGCCTAATATCGGCCGATAATATCGTTCTGCCGATATATCGGTCTGGCTCTATTCGTTAGATTAAACATACATCAAAAATCGTGATATTGTGAGATATTATTTAGAGTTTAGAAGAACTAATATTAGTTCATATTAAAATGCATTTGATTCCTGTGATGTAAAGCTGATTATTTATTTGATAAGAAATATTTCATTATCAATTCTGAAAACAGTGATAAAGTGATACATTTATTTTTCAAAAATAATCATACTGACCTCAACCTTTTGCAAGGTAGTGTAAATATGCTGCTATTTTACTGATAATGTACATTGTTTGATTTTTTTTTCATACTAAATGTCCTTTAAAATAATGAAACATGCTTCTGAATTAATAACACTGTTGCACTCAATTGAACCTAAAGGACACAAGGAGAAAAGCACAAGTCTATTAGCTCTAATAAATCACCTGAGATGCTGTCAGATATTCTTTATCTCCCAGACCAGGATTTGATGCTGCTTGTGTTTTCTCGATAGTTACTGTAGATTTACACTTGATCAATCTCTGACATGAGATATTAGGCAAAACATTCATTATTGATTCAGTGTTTATTATCTGAGAGCATCACAGTCCCGCCCACAGCCGGTGCCGGAAGTAAGAATTCAATACAATTTCTCCATTGACATTTGAGATATAAGCCATAAAAACGTAACCATATATGGTAGACTAAAAACCAGCCTACGGCTGTACTAAGCGATTGTATATTCTCATATAAACGCCAAAAGTTCATGGGGCACTAACCTTGTTTGAAGATAAATTCCTTTAATTCGGGATGTCTTGGATGAGTACTTCATTACCCACAATCCTGAGCAATCCACAGTAATGCATTTAAATGGTGGAAGTCATGTCACGTGTCTGAAACCCAACGAAGGTCCATGAAGACTGAAGATTGCGTAATGACGTAGGGCTAAGTTGATTGGTCACACCTCAGAGACGACCGCACCATTGGATGTTCAGTTTCCGCAGCACAGCCAATGAGCGAGCCAGATGCTCACTGTTTTAGCATGTGGATAAATCGAGGAAAAGGAGTTTCCCTGCACTTTCACTATATAAAATTCACTGGAGGAAAAAGTTCACGCGGCCGTCGTCAGATTTGGAAGTCACTCAAAGGCTCTTTCACGGTGGCTTCAGTCGGCTTCAGTGAGGCGCGGTGGTTTATGGGAGGAGTAGTTCCTTTGCTCGGAAATGGGAATATGTACACAGGCTTGTACCCTTGACCTTTTTTTGGATTTTCTCTTCATTTTTTCACTCGAAATGATATGTTGTATTCTTATGAGTTCAGCGGTAGCTGGTTATCCTCAGACAAATACTCTTTAGATATGGATTTTACAAAACGTCAATGGGAGAAATGAATGGGAATTTTACTTCCGGCACCAAAGCTCTCTCGGGCTGTGGGCGGGACTGTGATGCTCTATTAGTGAGAAGGGGCATAATTAATTTTACTAATTAATTAGTATAATGTAATCTATTAGTTTTTTTGGAAATTCGTGCTTGAATTGCACTGAGATGTAATCCTCATTATGCCGTATACTGTAGATACTGTAGATTTCTCTCTTGTTAAGTTCTCACGACACACTCTACACTGGTAGTTATTACGATGTTGTCATTGATTTGTGACTGTTTGTATGTGTGTGTTTCCGCAGGGATTGTCTGGGCGCCAGGGATCCGTACTGCGGATGGGACCGGAGAGAGAAGCGCTGTACGACGATTGAGGACAGTTCCAACATGAGCCAGTGGAGCCAAGACATCACAAAGTGCCCTGTAAGACCAATATCCTATTCTATTCTATTCTATTCTATTCTATTCTATTCTATTCTATTCTATTCTATTCTATTCTATTTGTTTCTGTTCTGGTATATTATGTTCTATTCTGGTTTATTCTATACTATTCTATTCTGTATTCTGTTCTATTTTATACTCTTTTAGATTTTATATAGTTTTGTTCTATTCCATTCTGTTCTATACTACTCTGTTCAATTCTGTTTTGGTTCTATTATAATCTATTCTATTCTGTCGAGTTCTATTCTGCATTCTGTTCTATTCTATAATCTTATTTTCAGTTCTGTTCCATATTATATTCAATTATGTTATTATATTCTGTTTGATTCTTTTCTGTTCTGCTGTATTATGTTCTATTCTGGTTTGTTCCATACTATTCTATTCTGTATTCTGTTCTATTTTATACTCTTTTATATTTCACATAGTTTTGTTATATCCCATTCTGTTCTATACTACTCTGTTCTATTCTATTTTGGTTCTATTATGATCAGTTTTATCCTGTCCTGTTCTATTCTGCATTCTGTTCTATTCTATAATCTTAATTTCGGTTCTGTTCGATTGTATTATATTCAATTATGTTATATTCTGTTTGATTCTTATCTGTTCTGCTGTATTATGTTCTATTCTGGTCTGTTCTATTCTATTCTGTATTCTGTTCTATTCTAATTTAATATGATCTATTCTATTCTGTTCTGTTCTATTCCATTCTATTAGATTCCACACTCTTATTCTATTCTATTCTTTTTTATTATGTTTCTATTCTATTCTATTCTATTCTATTCTATTCTACAAAGATTACATTTCCAGCTCAGAGATTCTTCAGATCAGATTCATAAAAGCGTTCTTTGAGTACACCAACAATCTCTTATGAATTTTTGCGCTGGTCACGAAGAATCAAGTTCGTGCCGAAGAGCCTGAAGGTTAACCCAGCTGATCCAGACTCTGACAGTGTCAATTACACGCTGGTGTTCTGCACGACGGCTGGCCAATGTCACTCCTGTTCCCTCTCGACACTTCATTAGGTTCATAATTAGACATCACACATTTCCTATTATCTCTGATGGCTTGTGTCCTCAGAGGAGCAATAATAAACAAACCTAATTTTCTACCACACTGAAAGCTTTGGGTTCGTCCCAAGTTGTATACTTGTACTATGCACTGAAAGTACTTTCTACCATGCTAACAGGCAATACCGACTGTTTCCATAGTAACGACTTTAATGACTTTAACAGTTAGTGAGTGTTTCCCCAAACTTTTGCAGAATGTTTGTCATTCCTAGAGTTGAGTTGCCATTAAACTAAACTAAATATTAATGTAAGCTTCTGATCAGGAATAACATGGATCAGATGCAATTGTTTTAAACATAACATTTCAGAAAACGTGTAATACAAAACAGTTGTCCTAATGTACTGTGATCAATCAACTAGGGACGCTATGGTTTGTGTTTAACTTCACAGGAGCGGAAACTTACCCAAGATGGTGGATTTGGCCACTGGTCCCCATGGCAGGCTTGTAACCATGATGACGGAGGGGAAGGCACCAGCACGTGTCAGTGTCGCACCAGGTCCTGTGATAACCCTCGACCCCAGTGTGGAGGGATGAAGTGTGTCGGTGCCAACATAGAGGTGGCCAACTGCTCCAGGTACACTCACTGTACTCACCCATATCTTTTCCTTACAATGACCACGATACTGACCACACTTGTTAAAGCCAAAAAAGGACAAAACACTATAAAAGCACTCTGCACATTCAAACTTGTCATGTTGCGATTGGTTACTAAGCACATGCGAAACATGATATTTAGCATCACTGACAACCAACCTGGCATGACATATATCTCGACTAGCAGTATTTGCACATATGCGAACATAATTCAAACATAATTTTTTTCATGGTTTGAAAGTCATGCTCACCAAAGCTGTATTTATTTGATCAAAACTACATTAAAAACAACAGTGATATTATGAAATTGTATTACCATTTAAATAACTGTTTTCTATTGCAATATATTTTAACATGTAATTCATTCTTGTGATCAAAGCTGAATTTTCATCATCATTACTCCAGTCATCAGTGTCACATGATCCTTCCGAGTTCCGAAATCATTCTAATATGTTGATTTGCTGCTCAATAAACATTTATGATGCTTATAAATATTTGAAAACATTTATATTTTTGTGAATAGAAACATCTTTTTAAAAATAGAAATATTTTGTTACATAATAAATGTTTTTACTGTCACTTTTGATCAATTTAATTAAAAAAAAAAATTTTTTTTTACCTATATTTTACCAGGAAAAAAGACTCACTGAGATTAAAATCTCTTCTTCGGGAGTGTCCTGGCCAAGATAAGCCGCTTAGTTTACATGGACATTTAACATCAAAGTTACAACACACACAAATAAAAATATAAAAAATGCACCTAGTTACAAACATTTACACACAATTAGTTTGCTCTGATGATTAGCTAATAAATATTTAAATTGACCACAAATCAACAACAATCTAAGTGCGCCCAAACTTTTCAATGGTATACTGTACATATACATATTTGAAAGACTTGAAATATAGCACACAAGTCATAAGTGTTGGGGAAGCTACTCTGAAACTATAGTTTGACTAACTAGAAGTTACACATTAGTGAAACTAGTTATGATACAGTCAAGCTACCCTTCTGAAAAAGTAGTTAGCTACACTACAAGTAACTATCTATGTAAAATATGTAACTTTTTTTACAACCACTTTGCATATAGCAAATAATTGTTAATAAAGCAGGTTCAAGGTAAAAGATTAGTGGTTTAAAACAACATAATGCAATACAATTGTGATTTCAAAGAGTAGCTGATTATTTTATCTTGTAAACTGCCCAAAGGTACCTTACAAACAATACTCAAATGTACATCTCACCACTTATTCACTGTCGTTCCACAGAATAGGAAGTCATAGGGGTTGGTAAGGGTATGAGTCAGTAATGTAAATGATGGCAGATGAACTCTTTTTTTTTTTTTTTTGGATGAACTAGCCTTTTAAAATCTGGAAATTGCCAGGTGTAAACAGTGTGGTCAGAGTGATATATGAGAGCCAGAGCGATCAGCATGAAGTCTTCAATCACAGACAATCAAAGTGTCAGAAGCTTTTATTCCCTCTGATTCAGCTCTTCCGTGAGAGAAAGGAACCACCCAACGCTAACAGCTGCAGAGACTGAGACCTCGAGTCCATCAATCCCGAGCACTGATACAGACGAGCTGCGTGTAACGAGTGGATGTATTCATTAACTACGAGATGCTGACGCCACAGTTCTGGCTTGTCCCATTATCCTGCAGTCTCTGAATCAATGTTCCAATTATTTCTTCACCTAGAGAGCTTGTTTAAACACACACATCACCAAGAAGCTAACAGGACGCAATGTTTCAGTATAACAAAAAAAAAAACAGCAGGATCTTTCAACTGGAGCAGATACATGATAAATGATCAACAGTTTGAGTAATCAGCGGCTAATACATGTTTTTCAGAATGCTACTGTTAAAGGGATAGTTCACCCCTAAATGAAAATTCTGTCAGTAATTACTCACCCTCTTGTTGTTCAACACCGTAAGACCTTCGTTCATCTTCAGAAAACAAATGAAGATATTTTTGATTAAATCTGAGAGCTGGATCAAAGGGCTTTAAACGACACCAGACGATGAATAAGGGTCTTATCTAGCGAAACGATCGCTCATTTAAAAAATAAATTAAAAAGTTTAAGTTTTATAAGCTCAAATGCTCGCCTTCTCTGTTCTGTGATGAGCGTTCGTGACTCTCCTTTTCAAACTCGTTCATCAAAATGAAGGAATATTTTTTTCGAGTCATGACTCGAAGGGTCCTAGATAAAAGCCTTATTCATCGTCTGGTGTCGTTTAAAGCCCTTTGAAGCTGCACTGAAACTCTCATTTGGACTTTGAACCGTTTGGTTCCCATTGAAGTCCATTATATGGAGAAAATCCTGGAATGTTTCCATCAAAAACATTAATTTCTTTTTGACTGAAGAAAGAAAGACGTGGACATCTTGGATGACATGGGGGTGAGTAAATTATCAGCAAAAGGTTTTTTAAAAGTGAACTACTCCTTTAAGGGATCGAAACTGGCCGGCACAGAAAAGTTATTAAAGACATTGTTAAAATAGTCTGAGTGACTACAGTGGCTCAATCTTATGTTTATCAAATGACGAGAATACTTTTTGTGCGCAAAAAACAAACAAAAATAACCATTTTATTCAACTATTCATTTACTTCTCTGTCGGCCGTGACATTTCACGTAGTGTAACTGCGCAGAGCTTCTGTGTTGTACATCACACACATCACACACACATGACCAACGTCGGCCACTAGTGAGCCTACATGTGACGTGCAACACAGAAGCGTTGCGCAGTTACACTACGTGAAATCTCACGCCCGACAGAGAAGTAAATGAATAGTTGAATAAAATGGTTATTTTTGTTTGTTTTTTGCACACAAAAAGTGTTCTCATGGCTTGATAAACTTAAGGTTGAGCCACTGTAGTCACTCGGACTATTTTAACGATGTCTTTATTTTTAACTTTTCTGAGCCGGCAAGTTTTGACATCACAACCCTGCTCACATTATCGACTCCTATACAGCATTTAGCAGCTGCTGTGATGAACGATATAATGAAAGGTAATTGTACGCAGAGCTTGGCCAATCATAATCAAGGTCATTTACATATAGACATCTTATGTCTCTGTAAGACTTGTAATGTTTTTTTAAAGAGGTCTCTTGTGCTCGCTTAGGCGTGTTTTATTAGATAACTTCTAACTCCTACTTCTGTGTGTTCAGGAATGGAGGCTGGACCCCCTGGTCGTCCTGGGCCGAGTGCAGCACCAGTTGTGGCATTGGATTTGAGGTCCGTCAGCGGTCCTGCAACAACCCAGCACCCCGTCACGGAGGACGCGTATGCGTAGGTCAGGCGCGAGAGGAGAGGTGAGGCCAGATGAGAGATGTGCTACATGCTTTTGATTTGATATGATTTCATTTGCCACGAAAAATGCTCTTAAGGCTGGTTCACACAGAACATGTTTGGAACGAAAAAACGGCTTGAGTTACTTGAGTGTTAATGGAAAAATGCCCTTTGAAAGTCATTTTTTAGTGTATTCCAGCCTAAACTATAAAAGAACCAACTCCAAGTGCCCACGTGTTTGTTTGAGGTGACTGGAAGATGAGTCGTTCATGTTTGTGTGATTCAGATTGTGTAACGAAAAGAATCCATGTCCTGTTCCGGTGTCCTGGCTCTCCTGGAGCGCTTGGTCCAAATGTAGCGTTGCCTGTGGTGGTGGAGTCCAATCCCGTGTTCGAACCTGCGAGAATGGCAACACGTGTCCTGGTTGCCCTCTGGTAGGCTCTTCAGCTAGTCATAAAATCAACAAAAACCCCAAAAAATCACATAGACTTATCAACATCTATCATGTGTGTGTTACTGCATCCAGGAGTACAAGGCGTGTAATTTGGACGCGTGTGCCGAGGTGAGGCGCACCACGCCGTGGACCCCTGGTACGCTGTTAATGTGACTCAGATGGGTGCGAGACAGGAACAGAGGGTCAGGTACACCTGTAGGGCTCTCCTCGCTGACCCTCACGACCTGCAGCTCGGCAAACGCAAGATAGAGACTCGCCTCTGTCCCACCACTGACGGAGCTGCTGTCTGTGAGACTGACGGTATACACACACACACACACACACACATACACGATTTGGGAGGAAATTCTATTAAAATTTTAAATGGGATTTAAAAAAATCCATGTTTGCTTGTTTGTAGGGCTACATAATTTGTCCCAAATTTTTGTGGTTATATATTAAATAATAATTATAAAGAACTAAAGACGCTCAGTGTAACTATAAAATTGCAATACTAATATTTATGGCTGTCTTAATACGAAACCATTAAACTTTGATGGGAAACTCTTCCCTCAAACTCTTCTCATCACAAGTTTGGGAAGATGGCTGGTGCATGTTGCGTTCCCAAATGCACGTTAAAGGTACAATATGCAAGATTGTTTCGCCACCAGGGGTCGCTAACCTCTTATAATAAGAAAGGTCTATATTGATGACGTATATTCCGCATTAAGCAGAATTATGGATTTCAGTGTTGTAGTCGAGACCACCTCACTCGAGACCGAGTCGAGACCGAGTCCAGAGAGAGTCGAGTCCGAGACCAGAGACGGTCGAATCCGAGTCGAGACCAGGACCAGTGAGGGTTGATTACCTAATTTACTTTTATTTACTTGGAGAAATCCTTTTTTTGTACTGAATTTACTTAGAGTTTAAAAAATATGATCAGTTTAGGGTAAAAAGGCCACATAGTAGGTGGTGTTAAAAGTAATTTTAGTACAATTTGTCATGCGCAGTTGCGCACTAGAAAATCACCAATCACTGGGCGTGTCAATCAATTTAAAGAAATATTTTATTAACATACATTAATAATCATGAAAAATATTTTGAATTGAACTCGAGTGGACTCGGGAATAAGTCCGAGTCCTAAAAAAAAAATAGTTCGAGTACGAGTCAATTCCGAGTTCAAATGCACACGAGTCCATGACAAGACCAAGAAAATTAAAATATGGTCCAAGACCATTAAAATATGGTCTGGAGTCCGAGACGAGTATGAGCCTCGAGTACTACAACACTGATGGATTTTGTCGTCAAGCTGATGGATCTTTTATGGATGAGTGAATACAGTGATGTCTTTAACATGACTGTAGTATGAAGCAGGGCGCGATTGCTAGACGTATACCAGCGCCACACGCAACGCGAGTCCCGCGGATATAAAGGAAGGACATTTCATTCTACCGAACTACACGCTGAATTACTCACACAGGTCAGTTTATTAGAGGAATTAAACTTGAGGTAACACACTTGCTCTAACAGTTTCACTAACACACTTAAACTGCATTTGTGTGTGTTGAATGTTAGTTAGGTTGTTTGTTGGCTGTATGAGACCAAGCTAGATTAACATGCAGATCATATTCTAACTTTTCATCATGTTGAACTATATAACATTGATTAGTTTTATATACATTAATTTGCTCACCTGTTTGCTCAAGTAACATGCAACACTCGCGTCTCTGTCAAGTCGAAGTTAGTCGCGGACGAGGAGCTCTCGGCATCTTCAAAGATGTTGATCTTCGCTTTAGTCTTCTTTTTGTCTGCTTGCCATGGTCCATAATGTTTGAGCAAAACCCTGCTAGGGACGCTCACGCTGTTGAGCTCACGTAACGGGCATAACCGACCCAGTTGTCCACGTCTGTCGCCATGGTTACTATTGCAGTACGAGGTCAAACCTGGCGGAAACCGGGGGTAACGTGGATATGACGTCATTGACTGGTGACTCCTGCTCACACGCCCCGTTTCCTTGGTTAAAAATCGCTATTTTTTCACGATTTACAAATAGTTTGAAACATTTGGGATATTGTAGGTAATCAACTAAGCAAAATATATAACATTGGCCTAGTGGTTTTTGGATATTTTACTGCAAAAATCCTGCATATTGTACCTTTAAATCGACTCAAAATGATTTTGATTAGTTGTGCAGCCCTCCTATACGTACACTTTTATGCTTGTAGGTCTAGTTGAGGACTTGTTGAGAATGGGTCGACCCGTCACACGAGTGCAAGGAGCCGCCTGGTCATCATGGGAAACGTGGTCTGCATGTTCCAAAGAGTGTTCCAAAGGCTTTCGCACACGCAAGCGCTCCTGTGCCACTCCTGATGGGAAGAGCACACCGTTCGCCTGCAGCGGGACGCCCGTCGAGTATCAGGACTGCAACTCTCAGCCATGCCCAGGTCAGAGTTTCCTCATGTCCTGTTATTAAAGGGTACATAATACACACAATTTCTCATGTTATTCTTGAGGACCTATAGAGTAGTATTGCATCCTTCATAACTCCAAAGAGTCTTTAGTTTTATCAGATTTGTAAAAGACAAATATGCTGTACTGATTCTCCCCAAAAACAGCCGAATCCTGAAGGAGTGTTTTTGGTACAGAAATACCGTCATACTTCCAACTATTTTTTTAAAAACTTTGGCCATGTTTAGCATATGAATTCAACTCTTTAACAGTGTAAATAAGTCAGAATGCATGAAATAGCTTTAGACATCCCCTTTAAGTTAGGGACTGTAGCCCTCAAACCGTATTCACTTAATAGCCCTTAATCCTGTAAATGTGGGCACAGAGGACTCAGGTGTGATCCTAATTTTTATTTATTATAAATGTTATTATATCACTGTCTTCGATAAAGTTTTGTCTATCCATTTATGGTGTTTTTTTTTATTTTGGGGGTATTTTTGAATTTATTTACTTCAAAAAGTACCATATTTTCTATGTAAATTATGCTTATTTTTATGTTTTATTTTTTTAATATTTTTTAACTACATTAAAATATCATTCCAATAAGTTCTTAGAGCTAAAACCTAAAGATGAAGTGGCTTTGCTGTCACCTGGTGTCTTATTTTGGCTTATTTTAGAATGCTCTAAATTACAGTTTTTCCCATTCATTTCTATGGGTGCCCATTTTTGACCCAAATACAAGATTAAGGAGATTTTTTTTCACCCACTTAACATTGTAGAATTGAGTAAAAAAAATGTGTGTGTTCAGGAGGCAAACTTAGGAAAAGTAGCCAAGTCTTATACCGCTCAGATCAAGGGAAGTATTTAAAAAAAAAAAAAAATCAAAACTCTTTTACCCACATTTGTCCAGAATACGGTTTTAGGGTTAAAAGTCTTGGTCCAAGGAGTAGTGTGATAACGGGTGTTGTTTTTCAGTGAAGGGGGCGTGGTCATGCTGGTCTTCCTGGTCCCAGTGCTCTTCTTCCTGTGACGGCGGTCACTACCAGCGCTCTCGTACCTGCTCTAACCCCACGCCTGCTCATTCTGGAGAGATCTGCATCGGCCTGCACACGGAGGAAGCTCTCTGTAACACACACGAGTGTGAAGGTGAGAAAACAACAACACCGATTACTCTTAAAGTCCCCCTGTAGTCAATAATTGTAATCCTTAAAACTCATCTTTGATCACCAAAATTACATATTTAAATGTTTTTTCCTTAAAATATTTCTCAATGCCTTTTTTTCAAAGAAAAAAACATTCTTCATTCCTTAAAATAGCTTGAATGTAACTCGACACCCTTGCCTCAGTACACGCTGTTCTATGAATATGCAAATGAGCCCCACCTCCACTCACAGCTCAGAGATCCACTCGTTGATCTGATTGGTTACAAGATCGTGTCTGGCATCAGAAACACCAGCAATTTCAAACCGTGTTCTTTGGATCAGTTTTAAGGAGAAAACACTCACCAATGCTGTCGACTTATGAATTTACACATGGTTTGTCTTAAAGCATATTAAAACACCAGATATATCAACACTATCTCACGCCCAATTCGTACGAATTCGACGAATGATTAAAAAGTGTCTAATTCGTACGACCTCACTCGTACGAATTTGTACGATTTGTCTAAACCCACGTGATGGTTAGGTTTAGGGGCGGGGTAAGGGGTAGGTCATTCGTACGAATTCATACGAATTGGCCAAATTCGTAAAATATGTACGATTCAGCAAAATCGTACTAATTCGCACGAGTGAGGTCGTATGAATTGTTACGAATTAGCCACTTTCTAATCATTCGTCGAATTCGTACGACTTGGTCGTGAGATCGGGTTGGACATACATATTAACAACATTAAAAACTTAATTTTCATATTTCAGTTTTAACATTTTACAGCTTCATTAATGTTTCTTTTAGTACTTTTAAGAAATAAATATATAGAAAAAAAAGAACATTTTGGCGTTTAATAAAAAATGCTTTTGAATAAAGAGCTTAGAAAATTGTGTTATTGTTAGACTACTTCGGATCGAGTTCCGAACGATGATCAAAGACATAGATGGAAACATGGATTGCCGGAAAATGGCAGGGAAGACTCTTTATGACTGCAAAAACATTTGTGTTCTGTTGTTTCTCACGTGTGTCAGGTGGGTGGGGGGCGTGGTCAGAGTGGGCGGAGTGTAATGAGGAGGGGAAGCAGCTCCGCGGTCGACTATGTGAATTAAACTCCTCTTGCCAAGGAAACTCTACAGATCAGAGAACGTGTCGGCCCAATGAGAGCGCAGGTTAGTTCCTTTCCCTCTTCTCCTTAAATCCTGCCTGGCATCTCAGGTTCACATCGTTTTCTTTATTCTAGTGCTGTCAAAGGGACAGAGGAGGAACTCAAACTGTGGAGGTAAATGCAACTTAAGAAAAATCAAACAGCATTGAGGTTTTCATGTGGCTATCGACCGTGGGTAAATGTTTGTTTTTGTCTCCTGCAGGGTTTTCTCTGTTCCACTTGGTGCTGACGGGCGCATGTTGTTTTGTGGGAGCTGTTCTGCTGTCCGTCCTGGTGTACGTGTACTGTCAGAGACTCCGCAAACCTCCTCAAGAGTCCGCAGTCATTCATCCCAGCACTCCCAACCACTTACACTATAAAGAGAACAGCTGTGCGCCCAAGAACGACTTATACACACCCATGGAGTTCAAGGTATCCCATCATGCCACCGGGGTCTCTCTTTTGCAGTGGTCCTTAACTTGTGGTTTGCAATCACAACACTGATCAGCGCAAATAATAAAATGCTTTTATAATATAATCATGAATTGTTAATATAGAAAAATAAATAGGCTTAAACCATTAACCCCTTAACTGTCACGGCTTGCCATTATATTTTTAAAACAATAATATCTTAAAACAGACCTTAAGTAATATTGACAAACTTTATATCATATGAAAGCTTACAATTTCTAGTTTCCATATTTGGTTTCCATCTTCTCAAATAAATTACACAGGAGCCGTAATTTATCAATTTGCAACAAGAATATTTCCAGACTCATAAATAGTGTTCAGACCTTTGTTTTGAAATAGCAATGAACATGAAAAATCATGAAAAAAGGTAGAAACATCAGTTTGTTTTCATGCCAAGAGTTCAAAAGATTGCATCCATTTAATTATTTTAGAAAAAAAAGGTCTGAAAATGTTATAATAAATTCACCATTTGTGAGGTGGCAGGAAGCTATAACGCACATGCGTGTTCTTTGTATGCGTTTCTTAGAGGTTGAATTCATATCAAAATCTGACAAACTTCCCATACTACTTCTAAATAGGATCTCTACTTCATAAATTGTATGAAAATTGTGTAAATGATGGTTCAGATCACTCAAAACGCATATGGAAATGGAGGCGCCCTTATATGGGCAGTAATGGAGGATGATTGTGCCCTAGTGAAAAAGTTTGGTACTGCGCCCAAACAAAATCTCACAGAAAGCTCATTTTTTGAGATATCAACCTAAAATTTTAAACACAACTTGTTCAGATTTTTGCCTTTGATTTTTCTGCAGTTTTAGAGTAGCCCAGGTTTTGAAAATGTATATTTTATATAAAATATGAATAATTATTTTTTTTACATGTGCATTTCCATGAACTTTGCTGTTTCACTTTCTTAATATATTTCACTGACAAAAATCTGCCAAATGTCTTCTTTAAAACAAGACCAATTTTACGTCTATATACCAAAGCATTCTTGAATTACAACCATTTAAGTTCGAAATGTGCATTTCCATGTCTATTCAAAAAAAGGGGGGTGACAGTTAACAGGTTAAAAGGAAGTCCTATAATTCAAGGAACCAACATTTTGAATGTGCATATTGGTCTGTGAAGTTCATGATAATATATATATATATTGGTGTATATTAACATAAACATATACAGTGGGGCCAAAAAGTATTTAGTCAGCCACTGATTGTGCAAGTTCTCCTAATTAGAGTAATGAGAGAGGTCTGTAATAATCCAGGAAATCACATTGTAAAGATGGTGGAAAATAAGTATTATTATATTTTTATATACACAATATATTATTGAATGTATTATTTATTTAATAATTTGAATAATAAATGTTTAAATGGAAGAAAAAGCAATGATATAAGTTATATTTTTAAATAGTAATTAAATAGTATTATATTTACTTTAGTTCAATACATAATTCTGGTCTTGTGTTGTTTGCACATGATATATTTGCTGTAAAATCAGTATCTGAAGCAGTTGAGATCCACGACTCTCCGTAATCCGTCTCGGAGGAAACGGCTCTCGCTCTATATATCCGTCTCTCGTCTATCATTCTTCATTTTCCGGTTCCATCTCTTCCCTCGGAGCGTTGACATCAGAGGACCGCTGCAGCATGATGCAAAACACGCCGTGGCCTTTGAAATATTGAAGAGACTCGTCCCACAACCCTGAGCTCACTTTTTGTGTTTCCCCTCTGTTCCCCGCAGACTCTGAATAAGAACACCCTGCTTCCACCTGATGAAAGCTGCAACTTCTTCCCATCAGCCTTGCCACAGACCAACGTCTACGCCACCACGTATTACCCGTCTCCTCTGGGCAAGTACGACTTTCCTTCCATGGATGCACCCTGCAGCTACATGCACAGCTGATGCACAAAGACACACATCATGCTTTCTTAGGGGTGTGTGACCACGCTTACACACCCTTGTCCGTCCATGCAGCTACATGCATTGTAAAATGCATGGATCCACAGGAAGGTCGAGCGCATAACCTGCGTCTCAAAAGATGCAGGAACACGCAATGGATTGTTGTTCGGATAAGACGGGCCCATGTAGTTTTCTTGTAGCATTTCCTTTCCTAAATGTCATCTCAAACCGGAAGTCACGGGTTCAGTTGATCACATGCGTTGTAATAACTACAGACTGACACTCACAAAGCATGCACACTTCCTAAAACGCAGAGGAGCGAGAGGAATTCTGGCATCTTCGCTTTTCACGTGAAGCTCAAAACTGAATGGTGACGTACTGCTTGTGCTTTTCACAATAGAAAAAAAACGCAAGGCAGAACTCGTTTCGAGTCGAATGGTTCCAGGCAGCTGTGACGTCTCTCGATAAGCCTGAACATCTGTTTCTCTTATTTTTTCCCTGGTTTATGTCCTTTCGGCTCCAGAACTCAAGTGGTGGATGTCAGATACTAGATGGACTCAGGATTACTGGTTGATGCGACTGGTTGACGTCACACTGGGCGAGGAGCGGTGTACGGTGCAGACTGTTATCTTCACCGTCCAATAAAAGACTTGAGCTCATGGATATATGGCCGTCCGCACACTCTTACACATCTGTTCATCAGGATCAATATGTCTGTCAGGCGCTTTTTAAAGGGAAAGTTCATCCAGATGATGACAGTTCTGCCATCCTTTACTCACCCTCATGTCACTGCAAACATTCATGGCTTTTTCCCACGGCAAGAAACATAGTCCTAACCCTATCCCTATTTCGAAACTTATCCCTGAAATCAGTGGGAAATGATGAATAGAATGAATAGAAGCATCTATCCCTCAAATCTGATTGGTTGATTGGAATGATGTTAATCCAGGAAAATGTTCCTGGAAATCATGTTCACGCTACAGGTGACTAGGGTAAAAAAATGAATTAATTAGATAATATAAATCAGAAAATACTGTAAACAGAAAAAAATCTCCTTATTTTTTGGAATGAACTGTTATATAAAACAGGTTAATGATATATTGAACAAACCCTTCTGTAAAAACCTTCGGAATATAGATATTGAGAAAACTGGTATTTATTATGAGTGAAATCTACACATGCAACTAGATGTAATGAAAAAAAAAACAATAATGTGTATTTTAATGTGTATTTTGGAGCTAAATCTGAAGAAAAATCTCATTTGACCAGTGCAGAAAAAAACAATGTTTCTGTCAGCAGTGTCTTTGTCTTAAGTGGAAGTGGCTCTTTATGCGCAAAACACCACTGTAAAAGTGGAGATGGTCCTCACTGCAGAACATAAAATCCAAGGGGAGGAGTCGGATCCAGATCCAACTTACATATACCTAAACCTACCCAGCGCCACCCGCTGTTCCCTAACCCCACCCCTAAACCTACCCAGCTCCAACCCCTGATGCCTAACCCCACCCTTAAACCTACCCAGCTCCACCCCCTGATCCCTAACCCCACCTCTAAACCTACCCAGCTCCACCCCCTGATCCCTAACCCCACCCCTAAACCTACCCAGCTCCACCCCCTGATCCATAAACCCACCCCTAAACCTACAACTTCACCCCTCAGATCTGGATCCGACTGATCTCGTGTACTGCAATGAGGTGCTGTTGTAAAAGTGTCATAAAAGGAGTCTATTTGACTTGTACACTATATTCCAAGTCTTCTGGATCCACACAATAGATTTACATTTACTGACTGAAAAGTATTTGCTAAAAGCTCTCAAATTTCATGCATATGTATTTAAACGTGGAGCATCAAGACTGCATAAAAGAGTGGCTCACACATTCTGCCAATCCACGGAAGAAAGCAAGTTTTTAAACAACATGAGGATGGGTAAATAATGACAGTGTTTAATTGGTTCATTATTCTTCTCTGGAGCATGGCAGTATGAAATAGTGTTATTGAACCTAAAGGGATGTACATTTATAAGTATGTATATTTGTAGCTCGCATTAGCCTATATATTTATACACAAAGGATGATTTTTTGTTGTTGATGGAATCGGGTATTTTTCCCCTGCTATAAGTCCACAGCGAATTTAACACGATGAAAGAAGTAACTTGTGTACGACAGCTGTTTTTCCTTCTGTCCGGCAGTGAGTGCGTTGAAATAAAAATATACGGTTTATTAAATATTTTGTTAACTATGATCTTTACTATGAGCTCAGATGAACTTTAATGGACACTCGCTGATACGCTTTCTTTCGCTGATGTTGCATGGATGATGCATTCTCTCAATCCAGAAGGTTCTCTATGCAATAAAAAAGAAAATGAATTTACAACACTTGATCACTGCCTTTATACACTGTGAACCTTTTCTATGTTTTTCTATGTTGTACATTGCAAAATAAAAATAAAAATCCATCTGGGTGTCAAAACACCACAATTGACTTTCTTCCATCCATCCATCCATCGGGTGTGAATGGTAAAGGTGAATAACTCTGGTCATTAGTGGTCGTGTAGAGTTGATTAGAGCGTCAGTGTGTGTCCTCTAGGCCGAGTCTTCACTCCAATCCCTCTGATGAATGATGTCTGCGGTTCTAGCAGTGCAGTGGGTAAGTGATGTGGCTTTTTGATGAGCTGTTTGCTGTTTGGAGGTTTTCCTCTCTAATGGGAGGAAAGAAACTATTACCCAGCAGCTGGAGAGAGTTATCAGAGCAGACCTGTTGTGGCCTCCAGATACACCACTATAGTGAAAGCTGCTCTCACACACACTCACACATGCAGCAGAGAGGAAAAACACAGTTAAATCAAAAGTGATAAGTGTCATTGTTATGTAAAATAACCATATTTCACCAAAACGCATTAAGACATTTCGCTTCTGAGCCTTTGACATGAAAACGAGAAGGAATACCAGCCATTTTTCAAGCAGTTACAGGTATGTGGAAATCGGCTGAGATGGGTGTGTTGAGGATTGAACACAGCTGAGAAGTTTGGGAGCCACAGCATCAACTTGATATGCATGACACAAACACCACACTTCTCAAGAACATCGTGCGGGCTGAAATACTAAGAAATACTGATTATATTGCCAAAAGTATATCGATTTCTACACATGTAATGAACTCAGGCCACACACACACACACACATGCTGGTGCGAGTAAAGATATCTTATAAAAAGTCCCTGAAGGAAATGGATTCAGTTTATTCTGGGATATGTAGTTTGTGAAGTGAGTAAACAGTAGTTTAAATGTATGGTATAAATCTCCATTCAGAGCGCTTTAATAATTAGGTTAATAGACTTTTTATTACATGGCCCATCATCAGAAACACTTCTTATCATTTATAGATAACATATCCACACAACCAAAGATTGTGTGCTTTTGCGTCTAATCTTCAAAAGCACAATTCAAGAGCAAGCAGAGTGGATTTAGGCACTCCTAAATGACCCGACGCTGTCATTGCTCAGTTTACCTGAATTCACCTATAGGTTGTCCCCAATAAATTAGCATTTTAAAGAGAAGACACTTAAAAGGTAACTAAACACTAAACCAACTGTTTTCAGTTAATGATCTGTAAGAATGGAGCTTTTTAAATGCTGATCATTGATTCGAGTAACTTTTTTAACATTTGGGTATAAAGTGTTTGATTTCTACAATGATAATGGTGTAAAAAACGTCTTAGTGCTGCCCTCTTCAGGTTGAACGGTAGCTACTGCAGTTGAATTTGACATTTCTCCAAAATGCTTCATTAAAATGGTTTGATATGAGGTGTGTATGGGATGTCCCGTATACGAATTGTCCATTAGTTTTTTCTACTTATTAGAAATGAGGTATTTATGGACCTCTGAAATCGAATAATGTGATATTTCTCCAAAATGCTTCAGTAAAATAGTTTGATAAAAATATCATAGAACTAGACAAGAGTTTTAATGTCATTATTTAATATTAATGACATTTTAAATTATGTTAAATGTTATAATTCTAGATGTTTATTGTGCCTTTGAAGTGTTTTGATGCACGTGCGCGTCAAGGACAGGAGCGCGCGCGAGGCCGCGAGCGAGCAGATGGAAACAGGAAACGTCATCAACTGACAAACAGCAAAACTAGCGTCTGTCTCTCGCTGTTTTCACTGCTTTCAGGTAAGTTAAGTTAACATAATCACACATATAATACATACAAACGTTCCTGACACCTTTCTTACATGTAATTGATAAGCCTCTCTTGAATATTTACCTTATAGAAATGGTTTTGTGTCTTCGAATAGTCTGTTAGCATCTCATTTTCAGAAGAGGTAAGTTAACGTTAGCTACACTATCTGAAGCTCTTGTTTTATATAAGTTTGGGGTTTTAACCACATTTCTGTGTAGATAACAATTTTTGATAGTATTGTTTTGCTGGTCATTTGTCAATGGGTGATTGGAAGTAAGCTAATTTATTTAGCCTAAAATAATGTTCTGTACTATTAATCAGTGACGTCACTTAACGTTACAAATATTGATTAAAAATGTGCTTTCACAAGGAAAAAACCTCCACAATAAAAGGGGGATTTTGTTTAATCCTGATAATAATGTCATATGCATTTATTTCCTAATATATACAGTAACTGTACTGTGCAGAAGTCTTAGGCACACTAGTATTTTCGCCTCAAAGAAATGGTTTTAAGCCAGTTATTTATATATTTTGTTGTAGTGTCTCAGTAGGAATAGGAAATATCAGTTTACATTTCCAGACATTAATTGTAATAACACAATGAATTTTTGAATGCACAAGGATTCTGACAACAGCCAATTCTCCACATGGAGGTCGGATCTCACCATCATCGAGTGCATCTGAAATTATATGAAGAAACAGAAAAAAACAGACTAAGACCAGAAGAACTGCGGCAAAAAGTACATGATGAAGGTGAGTTTCACAATAGCTGCCAGTATCACAAACCAAAAGACAGAACACAACACAACAGGCCTTCATCCATATGAACTATGAACTTTACTCCAGCATACTAGTACAACAAAGTTCCCTTTAAATCAGTAAAACTGTAAATGCTATTGGCTAATCGTGCCGGCGACGAGGGCCGGTGGTCTACGAAATTTCCCGGTAGATTTTTTGGTCCCACTCCGCCCCTGATTAAAGGACTTCAAATAATTCAAAAATGAAGTCTATTTTCAACTTCACCTTTCATTCTAAAATGCATCGACCCGTTTTCCAGATGTAAAGGACAATCTTAAATGATCTGGCTACATCTTGAGGAAATGAAATTGACGGGTCAATATTAAGTTGTAAGAAAAGGATAATGATTTGAAGAAGTGTCCTAAAATGCTAAATTTAATTAAAAAAAATATACTGATATCATTGCAGAGGCATAAAAACATTTCAATTGCTTCCAGAAACACACTTTGACATTACACGTGTCACATTTGTTCCTTAAAGCTGTTTCTGTACATTTAACGGTGTGGGTCTTGTTCCTTGTTCTTGTCTGTCATGTTTGTCATGATTCCCTGTTTGTCATGTGGTCCGGCCATGTGTCTTGTCATTTGTTAATTGTCAGTTCATTGTTCACAGGTGTTCCTTGTCTTGTAATTAGTCAGTGTATTTAAGCCCTCTTGTTTGACCTGTCTGTTGCTGCGTCTGAAATCTCCACTCAAAGCACTACTCCCTACCCTCTATGTTGGGGGTAGAGAGCAGAGCACTATATAGTGAGCTCATCAGCATAATACAAACCACTTTCGGACACTACTCGATCGTCTCTTGGCGCCGTTGATTACATCATCTGTCAGCTGGTGCCGAGCCGGCTCTGGGCTAAATAGATTTTTAAAAATAAATACATTACATTATATTGAGCTTATTTCTCCAAAATGTAAAAACTAAAAGTGATTTCTGGCCGTTTTTGTTATAATGCGCTACTCCAGTCCACACATGATTATAACTTATTTTTACGATCAGTGCAATGCATGATGGTATGTTGGGCTTAGGTTAGTGACCATCGGTTGTACACTACTTTTCAAAATGCATTCTGGGATACATTGATTGGACTATATAGGGTATAATAATCATCACTATACATTCGGACAGCACTACAAAATGGCGAGCTCACTATATAGTCCACTATATAGTGAGTAATGGGAGATTTCGGACACAGCGGGTGTCTTTGTCTAGTATTGTATGTTTCTTGTCCAGGTTGCCTG